ACACTGAACTATTTGTGGGGTATGTTCCACCTTTGCTGTTTTAATAGTGTCCACATTTTATCACAAACACCATCCCCTCCCATGTGTGGCTTCTAGGCTTTTAGATAGATAGGCTGGGAGTAGAGCCTATCTATGGATTGAGGTGATGTGATGAGTTCACTATTATCATCTGGTGTCAAATTCTTCAAGATTAGAAGATGCCCAAGGTACTATTGAAAGCTGTGAGACATTTCACTTGCCTAAGTATGAGTCTGCAGGGACAAAGCTTAAGCTATTTAAAAGAAAGAAGATAATTATTCTGGGCATAGGCTACGCCAGGGAAGGCTGGGCTGGGCATTCATCCCATCCCTTCAGCCCTGGATTCAACAATACATGAAGTGTGATGTCCTACAAAAGTATATGCACTTGAATCATTACATAATATTAGTTTGTGTTGGATTATTGGTCAATTGAAAGAAAACATTTATCTTGACATAGAGGAATTTCAGCCAGTCCAGACAGACATCAAGCCTATCTTCTGGAATGTTCACTGCACAGGTATAAAATTCTGATTAAGTCAATTTGCCCATTGAAAAAGATAGAATTATTTTCTTTGTCACACAACATGGTAAATGTTACAAAATTTATTTCCTGTAGTAAAGCCATACTGATAGTTTCACATCACACCTAAGGATTTCTTTACAAGATAAGCCTTGCAAGCGAGTCTGAAGGAGAATGATCAGAGGTGAGCCTCAAATCACAGGGTCCAGATGTCAATGAAAGCCAGTTATCCAAACTTCTCAGAAATTCTGTAACTTAAATTTCTTAAAAGAGTATTTGTAACAGTGGTCATACAGCACATAAAGACACCTAAAGCACAAAAAGAAAGCTACAATTTCATTGGTGCATTTAAAAGCAATTTTTCCCAACAAAATATTTGCAAACCAAATTCAGGAGCACATCAAAAAGGCCATTCACCATGATCAAGCTACGTACATTCCAGAGATGTGGGATGGTTCAATATATGTTAATCAGTAATTGTTATAAATTATGTAACTGGACTCAAGGACAGAAATCACTTAGTAGTCTCAACAGAAACAAAAGGCCTTTGACAAAATGCAGCACCCTTTCATAGTAAAAGACCTAAAGAAACTTGGACTATAAGAAACATATCTCAGCATAACAAAGGCTTCAAATGGCATGCCTATTACCAAAAATAAAACAATAAAACCTTTTAACTTTTCAAAGAGCTGAGTTTTTAACTTTTCTAAGTGACTGATAGTGTTTAGTCACAGATATCAGCCTGTCACCCTCCACAAAGTATCCAGGGATATCAAGAGGACTACTGAGGAATTTCATCTTCTGGATTTGTTATGGCTGTTGCACAGTGAACCCACTGCAGCTGGAGTTACTTATACACAGGACCTACACTACACAGCAGGCCAGTTAAAAAGTCAAACACAGTGATGGTGGTGACAGTACTGGGGACCTCCCTTCAAGAGCTGATGGCTTCTAAGGGGTGGGAGAGTCACTTGTCTTTGGGGACTGGCCACTGTAGGTAGCCCATGCCCTAGTGGATGCCTTCACAGCCACGTGCACATGAGCTCCCCTGATTGGACTCAGTGGGCTAAAAATTGAAAATGAAAATAGAAAACACAGACAAGAATTGTCAGGAGAATGTTTGGGGCGAGGTATCCATAGGAAAATTGGAAAGAAAATATGGGGTAGACAAAATCAAATTGTGTGTGTGTGTGTGTATGTGAAATTTCCAAAGAACAATCAAAATATACGAAAAGAAAAAAACAGTATTTTTACTGTTTTTTTTTTCCACCTGAGTGCTGGTCTTGGAAAGTGGTATCTGAGAAAGAAACCACAGCATTCTAGAAATCTCATAGAGACCATTTTGGCTTCCAGAGATCCTTGTGTGTTATAGAAATTCTCGCCACATACCATTCTTCCTTCTTCTCACTTCCATTGCTTCCCTACCTTCTTTCTCTTTCCTTACATCATGCCTACCCTGTGAAATAGGCTGCAGTCTCCCTACCCACAACTCTACACTGGTGCTATAATAGCCCACATCCATGTATTCCAAAGAGGGACTTGCTCCCAATTTTCTCAGCCTTTTGGCCAGGTCAAGCTATTTTCCATTCAATAACATATGCCTAGCTGGAAAAACCTAAACCTAACTCCATCCCACTACCTGCACTCATGCTTCTGGGGTCCCTTCTTCCTGATATGCAGCCTAGTGGACTGACAAGCATCCTGGAGATCCAGTGATAAGAGCTATGGAATTTCTAGTGCACATTTGGCAAAAGACTATGTTTTACATTAGCAGTGACTTGGGGCCATTCATCTTCCCTCTATATTGTATTTGTGCAAAAAACAGCATCTTCTCTGAGTTTCTGAAACATAATTAGCATTTTTAGGATAAATGCATCCATTGTGTTGTCTTTTCCACAGAACAAACAAACTATATATTTTCTCAATTACAGAAGAAAGATAAAATAGGAAAAAATTCATTTGTGGACAAATATCTTAAGACATTCTTTGTGGTACTAATTAGAAATCAGGAAGGGTGGCCATGCTTAAATTTCTCAGTCTAAGCCTGATTATCAATACCATCAGAAATAAGAGCACTCAATACAGCCTGGCGGTGATGGCGCATGCCTTTAAACCCAGCACTCAGGAGGCAGAGGCAGGTGAATTTCTGTGAGTCCAAGGCTAGCCTGGTCTACAAAGATAGTACCAGGACAGCTAGGGCTATTACATAGAGAAATTCTGTCTCAAACAAAAAGATGAACACTCAATAAATATTGGAGGATAAGAATTCTTATCATCTGATTGGGAATTCTTAGAAGTTATATATAAATTTTAGAGGTTTAGTATACAGCTTTTAACATTTCAATAAAATAATTCAATTGTTCACTCAGTTAAAAGGACTGCTACTTATTAGTCCTGCTCAATTACACATATCAAACCCCACAATAATTCATCAGTGCTACTGAAATACTCCCTAAGCAAGAAAGTCCAGATCAGTATATGCATACAGTGTATCTATGTCAATTTAGATGTCTTTAAACATACACACATAGATGTAAATCTTATACACACAACACAAAGCTATCTCAGCAAGAACATTAAACTGTTGAATATTTTTTACATTATTCATGCTCTATTCTTGAAATGTTTTTCTGTAAAGAATGTCTCTCAAACTTGCTCATTTTTACGTGTATGTCTCACTCTGTTTTTGAAGAAGCTGATACTATTGATTTGTATGAAAATAACCCCAGCTCTGCAATTTCCTTGGAAATTACCATGTGCTAAGTAGTGCAAGAGTTTTACACAAATGGTTCTGGCCATCAGTGTGGTTAGGACTCAACCTGTATCATCGTGAAACAAAGCCTGGCTTCTTAAATCCCTCAAAGAGAACTGACCTGGCAGAATTCATAATTTGTGCTTTTTGTTGTCTATAATATAAAATTAGCTAGATAGTATATGGAATTAAAAAAAACAGATCAAGATTCTTTAACTATACTTCATAGTAACTTAAGTATTGATGAATATGGGGATATGGTAATCAAGAGCATTAGATGGCCATTTCCAGATACAGAGACACCATTAACATCGTTCATCCTCAGCAGACAGTATGTGATTCTCATCCTCTACACATCTGTTAGTCATGAAAAGGTCAGGTCTTACAGGAGACCAAGCAGCCTCTATGAAAACTTCTTCTTTATGGTCTCATTTTGCGATTTCTGTTATTTGTCGTTTTTATTACTGGCATCTTTCCCCCAGACATTTCTAAAACAGGATCAAAGCCTGTCTCATTTCTCTCCTTTTCTAAATATTATAAATGAGAGTTGGGTTAGATAAATACTCAACACACGTTGAAAACACCAATGAATGGGTCTTTGATTACTAACACTGAAAAAAAGTTTACTATATATATTATGTAAAAGTAAAGAAAAGAAATAAGAGCGTGTTAAATTTAATCATGCTATGAGTGGGAGTTGTCACAGTGTAGACAGTTTCATAAGCTTATGTTGGCTCCCAGAGTCAAATTACGTGAAATTTAACAGAAATTTAATAACATTTAGTTGAGATTTGAAGGAGTTTTGCTTCTATCATAGCTTTAAAATTAGGATTTAAATTAATTCCAAATATAATATGGTATTTCAATTCATGTCCATTGTGTATAGCCATCAACTATTTTGAGAGATTTTTTTTTTGGCTATGTAGCCCAGGTTGACTTTAAACTCATTGCAATTTTTCTGCTTTAGCTTCTAAGTGTTACAGTTTTAACATAGATAACACCAGTATGAGAGAGTATACAGTATACAAAGAGATTTAACCTCAATAAATTTTCATATAATACTTTCACAAATTGAAAAACTCTGGCTGGGTTATCTAGTCTACCAGGATCATTGTATCATGTAAATGTTGATGTTCGTCCAGTGATATTAGGAATATTATTATAGATCACTGCCTCCCAACCATTGTTATTTACTTTAGCCACAGAACATTACTTATTAATCTCCTTACAAGCACTCTCTCTTTAATTGTTTGTTCTTTTGTTACAACTTGAGTCAAGGGACAAGAGAATCTTTGGTAAGTGCTATTTATTTACATGAGCTGATAATAGACCTATCTTTTAAGATTATCTTACAGAGGGCAGGAGGCTCTGTAGAGGATACGGTCTACTGTAACTGAAGCTTCCGAAAATGATCTTTAGTTCTCAGTTAATATTTGTTATGCACTATACATTAGGCTGTGAGCATAGGACAGAGAGAAATTTTCTAATTTCATCGGGGGGAGGGGAGGAAATAATAAGCAGAAATAAGAGAAAATGAGAAACGCTATGGTAAATAATTATTGAGACCCATGGTAAATATTCACAATGAGTTTTTTCTTTCAATGTCAGCCACAGAAAGGAACAACAGTTCCAGTGTTAACACCAATCTCAGCATCATGATCAACACCAAGATCAGCATCAATGCAACACTGGCTAACTTGGTACTCACCATCACAATAACATCTGCTGCCGGAACTGGGAGATTTTCTATTTCAAGATCTTGACCAGACGCAGCCAACAGATTAAGAGACGGGTCATATGCAGGTCTAGGAAATGCTGAGTTGACAATTTGGTGACGTTTGCTTATTTGAACTTCAGAAGGGGAATGGTAGCTATGTTTATATGCCTCTTGAGCTATATCCAGGCTTTTCTCAATATCTTGTGAATGGCGATAAATGAACACTGGCTTCCAACTCTTCTTTTGACGAATAGCCAAGAAGTGATCATTATTTCCTGAAGAACATCCTACAAGATATAAGAGTCAGAAAGAAAATAAAAGATCATATCCAGAAAAACATGGAGACTAGCTATGTTTTTTTGGGTATGCGTGTGTGTGTGTGTGTGTGTATTTATATACGTACATGTACCTGTGGATGCCAAAGGTTAACATTGGGTACCTTCCTCTATAGCTCCCCACCACATCTTTTGAGACAGAATCTCTCACTGAACCTAAACTCATCAATTCAGTGAGATTGGTAGACCAGCAAACACCAGGGGTCTTCCTGCCTCTGTCCTCCTAGAGCTATGATTATAGGCATGCCGTCCACTCCTTACTCTTTAGGGCTGTGTCAAGAATCTAAATTTGTTCAACTATGTTCATAGCAGTATTATTTGTAATAGCCAGAACCTGGAAACAACCTAGATGCCCTTCAATGGAAGAATGAATGAAGAAAGTATGGAATATCTACACATTAGAGTACTACTCAGCGGTAAAAAACAATGACTTCTCGAATTTTGCATGCAAATGGATGGAAATAGAAAACACTATCCTGAGTGAGGTATCCCAGACCCAAAAAGATGAACATGGGATGTACTCACTCATAATTGGTTTCTAGCCATAAATAAGGGTCACGGAGTCTACAATAGGTGAATCTAAAGAAGCTAAGTAAGAAGGGGAACCCAAGGAAAAACATATAGTTATCCTCTTGGCTAAGGGAAGTAGACAAAATTGCCGGGGTGAAAATTGGGATCTTGGGGTGGGGAGGGTTGGGAGTAAGGGGAGATGGGGAGAGAAAAGGTAGAAGGGAAGGAGGTCGGGCCTTGGGAAAGCAGGAGGATTGGGATAAAGGAAGGTTGGACAGGGGAGCACGGAACCACAATTCTTAGTTAAGGGAACCACTTTAGGGTTGGCAAGAGACCTGACCCTAGAGGGGTTCCCAGGTGCCCAAGCTGAGGTCCCCAGTTAGTTCCTTGGGCAGTTGAGAATAGGGAACCTGAAATGACCCTATCCTTGAGCAATACTGACGAATATCTTGCATATCATCATAGAACCTTCATCTGGTGATGGATGGAGATAGATACAGAGACCCACACTGGAGCACTGGACTGAGCTCCCAAAGTCCCAATGAGGAGCAGAAGGAGGGAGAACATGAGCAAAGAAGTCGGGACCACGAGGGATGCACCCACCCACTGAGACAGTGGAGCTGATCTATTGAGAGCTCACCAAGACCAGCTGGACTGTGACTGAAAAAGCATGGGATAAAACTGGACTCTCTGAACATGGCGAACAATGAGGGCTGATGAGACGCAAAGGACAATGGCACGGGGGTTTGATCCTACGTAATGTGATGGCTTTGTGGGAGCCCAGCCAGTTTGGAGGTTCACCTTCCTAGATATGGACGGAGGTGGGAGGTCCTAGGTCTTACCACAGGGCAGAAAACCCTGACTGCTCTTTGGACTGGAGAGGGAGGGGGAAAGGAGTGGGGGGAGGGGGAGAAGGGTGGGAGGAGGGGGCATAGGGTGGGAGGAGGGGGAGGGAAATGGGAGGCTGGGAGGAGGTGGAAACTTGTTTTTTTTATTTTCTCCTTTTCTCAATAAAAAAAAATATTTAATAAAAAAAAAGAATCTAAATTCAGCTCCTTTTCCTTGAGCAGCAAGTATTTTACTAACGGAGGCAACTCCACAGTGTCCCTTCCTTCTTTTATTTTCTCCTACAACACTATGTAGATTTGTATATCTGGATGACGTGTCTGCTTCTCAAATGCTAAACATTTATATTGTTCCTTAAGCTTTCTCTTATTTTGATGATAACCATATACACATAATTATGTTATATATTATTTTATATAAATTATTAATGCACAAATTTTCATCCCATGTTTATAGTTTTTTTTAGCAGATTAGGTTTAGGCAACCAAAGGCAGAAATCTGAGTATGCTTATGGCAATAATTTTTAATTGTCTGATAGCACCATTACTCATCATACTGTTAAATTACATACATTTCTCAGCCTTTATCTTCACTAACTACTACTTGAAAATATATTTCCATTTGTAGATGATTAAATATTAATGTGAAGAGAAATATATAAAACTTTGCTTTCAGCTTTGGTAATGACTTAGATATATTGTTGATGAACTGGGATCATGATCTAGAAACCATGTGTTAAAGAACAATGACAAAGAATAATTCTGCTGTCTGGTAGAAGGAGAATGAAATGGCTGCCTCTTAATTTCAACTCAGACTCCATGTAGTAGAGAAACAATTTTCTATCTTATTATAGCTGTTGTTATTTTAAATGTTTTAGTTATAGCAATTGAGCCTAAATGTTAGCAAGTACATTAACATTAACCATTTCTCCTATTAGACAAATATTCTTTTAATTTAATAACCACTGATCTTGTTGGTCAATGACCATAGTAATATATAGATGTCATATCTAATTTAAAAGTATAATCTGTTTAATGAAGACACAGCCTAAGCATGCTTTGGGAAAACTAATGATGGCCAGGGTCAGAATGTGTGAGGATGTCCAAGTGTAAATTTATTCTGAGGTACATAGTGAGGTGTAGCTTGTCTCAAAAGGCAAACAAAGCAAAACAATAACTCACAAAGTGAGGGCATTGCCTAGAGTCTTGTTTTGCTTTATAATGCTGCTATAAGCACCATGACCAGATATATTCTTTTTCTGTTTGCTCTCATTAGAAAGCAAATAGATATCTAAAAAATAATAAGAAAAATAACAAACCAGAATAGGACAAAACAGAAAAAAATGAAGAGCCAAAGAAAAAGCATAAGAAACACAAATAAATGTAGACACATACACAAACATTTGCTCACAAAACTCCCACAAAACACAAAACTGGAAAACATAATATATAAGTAAAGACCTGTAAGGGAAAAAAGCACAGACAACTTATGAAACAAAAAAATTTGAAAATATCTTTGAGTTCAATTGTGTTGGCCATCTACTGGTCATGGAGCCTGGCCTTAAGTGTGGCTAGATTAGTCATGGATGAATTTGGCCTTTTTCACTTAGCAGGATGACACTAGTTTCTATCTGAACTCCTGCAAACAACATGACTTTACCCATTTGGGTGTGTGTGTGTGTGCGTGACTGAATAAAACTCCATTGCATATGTGTGCCACATTCCTTTATTCACTCATTTATATTCATATTTAATGGATATCAAGGTAGATTCCATACCTTAATTATGTTTATCATGGCTGTACAGGTTCTCACTACTGTATACCTACTGTATACCTACTCCTGGGTCTATGTCCAAGTGTGTTACAACTAGACCATAGGAAAGATCAAACATCAAATAATCTCAAAGAACTTAAAAGGGCATGGCAGGTTGGAAGTCTGAGTTGACTGCATCTCATAAGCTGTATGCTTTTTGTACTGTACAGAACTGGAAGACTTGGGGACAATGTACAAAACAGTCTGAGGGATATGAAAAGTGAACAGGAATAAGGGAGCAAAAGGAACAGAATGTCGAATACATTAGAAAGTGGATCCTCTGTGTACATCTCATGTCTAGTTTTATTCATCTCCAGCCAGCCCACAGAGGGTACCAGGACACAGAAGAAAGAAACACTATCTCTAAGTATTAGCTGTACATAAAAACATCTCAAAAGTCTAGGATAGCACTGCAGTGCCTCCCATCTTCCTCCTCTCTCCCATTTGCCCTGTCTTGAGCAAGACTCTACCCTCTGCATTATTCCATGGTGAGGGGTGAGAGGGACAGAAAGGGCTCACTGGATGGAATTCTCTCCTGAGATAACGGCAAACATGCATTCATTGTGGTAGAGCTGTCATGACATATAAGCTCCTAAAGGTCTCACCTCTCGACACTGTTGCAATGGATTTAAGTTTCTAACAAAGGAACTTTGGGAACACACTGGACCATAGGAAGAGTTAGCATTAGCATCCAAAACAAATAAGAAACTTTGGCAACTTGAAGGCAAGAAAACAGACCCCCTGCCCCCAAGAAAAAGCTATGAACTTCAATAACTATGTCTCTAAAGGAGACATACAGATGAGTGGCAGGAAGGTGAAAACAGTTTCCGCATCAGCAATCATCAAGAAAAGCAAACTGAAATGATGTATCACTATATCCCTGCTTAGGATTGCTTTTATCCGTGTGGAGAGGATGGAGTAAAGGAAGCCATCAAACATTACAGCTAGAAATGTCCAGCTAAGCGGTGACATGGTTTCCTTTCAGCATTTAAACAAGAACTTGCCTTTGCCACTTTGGAGAAGACAACTGAACAATTGAAATTAGCATATTGAAGAGATGTTGACATTGTTACAACCATTGTAGGGCTAAGCTCTACATCCAAAATATAGAATCAACCCAAGTGTCTATAAATAAGTGAGATAAAAAAAAAGTACAGCATTTACACAACATAACACTGTTTGTCTAGCATAGAGAAGGAAACCTGGGTCTGGAGAGACAGCTCAGAGATTAAGAGCACTGGCAGCTCTTCCAGAGGTCCTGAGTTCAATTCCCAGCACCCATATAACCATCTGTAATGAGATCTGGTGCCCTCTTTTGGCGTGCAGGCATAAACGCAGGCAGAACACTGTATATATAATAAATAAATCTTTTAAAAAGAAGGAAATCTGATTATTTGTAGCAACATGGTGGAGGCTGGAGGACATTATGATGTAGTAAGATAATCAGGGCACATTGCTGCATGATTTCACTTCTGAGATATAAATAGCTAAGCTCATAGACGTAGAAAGTAGAGTAATGGTTGCCAGAGGCCGGGGTTAGGCTACACCTACACACCATATACTTTTACCTAAACTTTATATTTTGTACAAAATTTAACTCATAAATCTCACAAGCCTAAAGATATGTGATCACCCAACTTTTAGAAGAAAACAAAAAAAATGAACTGTATTTAAGTTTAGACCAAGAGTTTGGGACAATAATACTAAATTCACATTTAATAAAAGAAAAGTCTGTATGGAGTTGGTGAGACATCTCACTGCGTCAGGTACTTGCTGCCAAGCT